GAAATAGAAAAACAGTTTGATGAGAAATAGAGAGCAAGAAGAAATTACTCTGTATGAACAAGGAAGGAGGAGTCTGTCAGAGGAGCAGCGGTAAGCAAAGGTGATCAAGCAAAAAGGTGAAGGGGGTGAGAGAATTAATAGGGACTGAGTGAATTGGACATGAAATGAGTAGCCTGAAGAAATGAATACTGTATGTAATACACACTCATTTTAGGTGAGATTATAATAAATAAGGTGTAGGTTACTAAGGGGATTTAGTGTAGTTTCTGGCAGACTACTAAATCAAAGTAAAATAGGAATCATTTGGGAAAAAAAGAGCAGACTGTTCTCAGTGCTGGAAGCTTCAACATCAGGGAGCTGAAGAGTGAGCTTAGGATGGGGATCAGGGTGGGGTGAAAGAGTAAGCTTGACTGCAGGGGATGTAGAGGGTGCTGTGTTTCATGAAAGCATTCATCAGAGTTAGTGCTTTTGAAACATTGCAGCTGTAGAATAAAAGCCATCAGAAAAAATGTATTTACAGTATATTTTTAAGATAAGCTTTGGTAATAGATATTAAATTAGGAGGTGATCAAGATGGAGGAAAAAACCCCTACACAAATAACGCCCCCCCCCCTACATCAACCTGTCTGGAAAACTGCAGCTCTGTGTAAAGTTTCTTGAGTTTGATTTTCTATCAAGCATTCTATTGCATGATACCATCTTATAGCTCACCAATGAATTCCAGAGCTTCCTAGCTTTGAAACAATATTCTGAAAGCACTTCTAATATTATGTTAAAATGTTTTTATATGAGCAGCATTTAAAGCAGATATATGTCTCTAACACTAATAGTAGCCAGAATTGACTAGGCTTTGTTCTTTGTTCTGTTATCGAGGAAGATGTAATCTTCTGATAGAGCACTCATAATTCAGGGCTTTAGTCCTGTGAAAAGCTCCTCTGGGATTTTTCTAGTTTAAGGACTTAGGGGTCTACTGCTTCCTACAATTGTTAAAGAGGATAAGATATATAGTTAGAGATCACCTTCCTAACAGTCAGCACCAGTCTAAGCCTCTAATAGAGCTATTCTGAAGCAGCAACTTCAGAAACAGTTGGGTCAGCATGGTTCCTTGGGGAATCACATAGATTTCTGGATGCCCAAAAGAAAAATTGCCAGTGATAGAAGCTGGCAGTGCTTAGCAGAGCTAAGCTGTGAAACAATTCAGCTGTACTCAGCCACAGTAATGCAGTAAGACTGGCTGACTTTTTCAATTCTCCTAACTACGTTAGTTTTGTCTCTTAAAACCAGAAATTAATTTTCATACTGAAATAAGTTAAATGTATAGAACTTAATATTAAACATTCAGTTCTCTAAGTGTATGGCTTTTTGATTTTTTCTTTCTCCTGAGGAAACTGGGATCTATTTCCAGGCCAGAGAAATAAGTTCCACCTATGCCATTTTCTTATCTATGTCCACATTTCCTTTTCCATTTTATTTGATTTAAAAAAAAAAAAAAGTGAACAGCAAAACCCATCCTTCATCCAGAAACAGCAAACCAATGTTGCCCAATGTTCCGAGCCATCAGAAAAAAAAAAATCAGTCTGGGATCCTTCTCAGTAGTTAAAATTCATCTAAATCCCACGAATTATTTATCTCATATGGATCTCTAGACCTTGAATTAAATGTAAATTCAGAAATTTCAAGTCCTAAGCTGAAATTCTAAGCTTATGTGTGTTTTTTTCTTGATTTGATTTGAGGTTTTTTTGCTTGTAAATCCAGAAAATTACGCCACTGTGTTGTCTTGACTGTTTAAGCAGAATAATAAGAGAAATAACCTTTTCAGCATTAGGTAAGAAAACAAATAAAATCTGTCTGTTATTACTAAGCCTGATAAGTGCTACCTGCCTGTGGAATCCTGTGAGTAGCCCTTCCCTGGATAGGGAACATTTTGTCCAGAATGAAAGTGGCGACCAACACATTACAGGTGCATGTGGGGCTTCAGAGAAGGGTTTTCTATAGTCAAAGAAAATTATTAAATAAAACTAATAAATTGATTGTGGGGAGATACAAGACACAATTAAAAACCCCAAAAGGAATATGGTAAAAAGCATTTCAGCATGTATTCAATATAAACATCAAGCAAAAGAAATAGCACAAGCCTTTATGGATTTCTATTATATTGCAGAATATCTGGTCTCTTATTTATATAATACTTTTTAATGATTACATGTCTTTTGAGAAGGAACCTAGAAACCATAATGGCGTTTTAAGTGATATTCATTTACAAAATTGAGAAATAAAGGCAGTTAGGGTAGAGACTTCTCACAGTGCTGCACCTATATTTTCTGTGTAGTCAGGTGTATAATTAAAGCCATCAAAGTACAGACAATTCCACAGTTGTCTTTTTAACAGAATACAACAAGTTATTTTCCAAAAATTCTCTGTTAACCTCTTCTAATGAATCAAATTGTCTTTTGAGATTGGTTATTTGAAAGTATCCTGAGTTATTTTGAACCTGTAAATGTTTTAAATACTCTTACTAATCTGCAGAGGATCTGAGTGATTAGCAAAAAAAAAAAAAAAGAGACTTCTTTTGGAAGCTTCAAGACTTATTTTTTTACTACCCAAGAGCTAAACACACCATAAAAGCAAACTCTTCAATAGTCGAATTCTTCATTAGTCACCTGTGTTATCAGGAACATAAGTGATTTCTATCACAAAGCAAATGATTTGACATGATACCACTGTGTGTTCTTAATTGCAGAGAATGACCTGACTCTTTTTCCTTCTAAGAGCTTTAGGACTGAAACAAGAGTGATGCGTGCTGGACTTAGATTAGTTTCTCAAGTTATATGGATGACTACAAAATTGCAAAGAAACTTCAAAATAATCAGCAAATTGGGACGCTGCAGCTATATACAAAGATAATAATAATTATTATTATTACTTTAGATATCAAAAGTATTAAAAAAAAAAGATCTGTAATTTCTTGGGCTGTTACAATCACCAAACTCTCCTCTTGCCAACACAACTTCAGTTCCTACCAGCTGACTTAGCTATTTGACATATTTGTAAGGAGGGCAGATGCAGCACTTGGTGAGCCTCAAGAACACGTTTTAGAAATCTGTCCTACAGAACTAATTAAAACAATGGTTTAGAGGTTTTAATCAGAAATTATGAGTAGGTCAAGGATTTCAGTGTACCCATGCTAAGGATTAGGTTGTTCAGATTACAGTGTTTTCTAAATAGATACTTAAGAAAGTCAGTAAGAAGGCAGCCTTTTAAGATTTCTTTTGGCTAAGAGACCACTTAATCATGCTCCTGACTTGAGATGCTTTGGGTCATATTCACTAAAGTTTTCAAAATAAAAATCTAAATCTTTTGTAATCTGCACTTTACAGAAAGAGAATTAAATATGGAAGTGCACCAAAATGAGCAGATGGGAGAAATTCATGCCATAATTCTCCCTCTCCCGGGCTCACTCTTGGGTTCACAGAGCTATTTTACTTTTATCTCCTGCCTGAAATTTTACTGAGTGGAATACATTTAGTTTCTTCCTTCTAGAAGTTGAAAATATTTACTTATTTAATTTAAAGTAAAACATCTTAAAAAATTAAGCAGATTTGGGAGTGATGTTTCAGGAAAATTCAGGAGCTTATGCTGTTTTGCATCAAAAAAAACCCAAACAACCACAGCAGCAGCAACTCCAGCCACACAGTGTTTCTATTTCCTGATATCTGCAAGGAAAGCTAAGCAACTTGTATGACAGATGTTTCAGATCTCATTTGAATTGGTCATAAATGAATATTTCTGAACCTTGTACCATCTCAGTAAAGTACTGCATTTGTTCCACTTTTATACAGAGCAAATAATTTCCTTATTGTACAGTTATAACCCACCAGAGTGATTCTATAGATTAATACAGAACATTAAGCTTAAGTACAACAAACTTTGTCTTTTGAAAAGTTTGACACTGAAAACAGATGCACTTAGTATCTGAGAGTTAATAAATTAAGACTTCTTTTTAAAAGTGAACAGTTACAGGCACATTGAGCTCCACTGTTGATATCAATGTTATTGCATTTCTGCAGCTGAAATGTTACAGTCTGCATTCTCAGTCAACACTGCCAGAGAGAAACTGAGGACAATTTCAGATATGCCCTGTCATATCTGAAATTTCAGATATGCCCTGTCAAAGCTCCTGCGTTTTTGGTTATTTGATGCTACAGGAGAGAACATGCATGCACACTGGTTTCATCAGTTCTCACTCAGACATTGCACAAACTAGCTGTTTTCCTCTCCAGGCAAAGAGACCTGTCTGCTACTCTGATTTAAAGTGGACATCTACAGATAGAAAAACCTGATCTAGAGGGAAGTTACAAAATCATTTCAGTACACAATCTATCAACCCCTTAATCATTCATATTTCAGCTCCTCTCCCCTTTGTCCTACATTTCATTTAACCAGCATAAACATTTCTTGTGATAGGCAGAGAGAAGATGGGGAAAAAAGAGCCTGAATTTCTTAGTTATGACAGCATGGAGGGTACACACTGCTCCATGCCCATTGTTTTTCATGTTTATCAGTATAAACTCAATGGTTTCTTATTCTCCACCATATATTTTTTGTAAATTATTCTTTTTCCATTCAGCCTTAAACTACTAACTCCTTAGGACAGCCAAAAACCTTTGAACTTCTTCTGTATTGTTTAATCTATTAGCTATTGCTGAAACCACTGAAATGTATTGTAGCAGAAATTTTCAGATGAGTTATTCATACCATATCACACTGTGTATCTAAATGCAATCTTCTCTACAAAAAGAAAAGAAAAGAAAAATATATGCTTTCTTTAAGAACGAATTTAGAAATCAATTTCAAGCTTTCTTATGCATTTTGGAGGCTGGGAAACAAAAAATTATTTTTCTAATGTAGTTAATAAATTTTTTATCCATATACCTGTTTAAAATCTTAGTGATTATAGAAATTGCCATATTGGATCTAAGGAGGCCATAAAAATAACCTACCTTCTTCTTATCCCTCAGTGGCCTCAGTTTATGTTCTGGCATGTGTCTTTGTGAAGTGTCAAAATCTCATCTTGCTGCATGCAGGCTGATGGTAGTTTCTACATCTTCAGTTATGTCAAATGTAGAGGAAAAACAGAAAACAGTTTGAAAATGTCAGCTAGTCACAATATTAGAACTACAGAAAGACTTTGCAAAGACACAAGCTTTTTAAATTTCAGCCCAAATCACAGAAGTTACCACGGTGCTTTAGGAAAAAGTACTGTTACTTTGGGTTATCCATACATGCACATTTTCTGTGTCAGGAGGGCATTTCTTTGTCAGGGTTGATGTTACTGCACTCCAACAGATTCTGTCTCCAGGAACATCACTAAGGACATGTCTGGCAGACAGTAACACATTGTAAAGACTTGGAAAAAAGGAGGAGCACAGTGTGTGATGTGATTACTAATCTCTACTATTGAAATACATTTTTATACATATGTATAATAGCCAAGATCAAGACTACTGGCTGTGGTTTATGTCATCTTGTCATTTTTATGATAGAAAGACACCTAAAACCAGCAGATGATTGAGGTGGCTCCCACTGATTTTACCTGAACTCATTCCAACATTGCCATATCTTTTTCGGGGTACTTAAAGGAAACAGCAGTTACAAGACTGAACTGCAGGATACATAATTTACAACAAATTTGTCCTGTTTAAATTTCACTTCTGCAGGTGGAGAAAATATTGCTTTAATCATCATTATCTCCCATAGGTTTCTGTTTCTTATTAGTTTATTAATCCTTCCATATGGATTTCTTAAATGTAAATACTGAGCAGACTAGTCCCCTGAAAAGTAGATTTTCCTTGCAGAATGTTTCTTCTTTTCCCACAATACTTTCAAGACTTCATCACTATGGGAAACTTACAGGTGTGTTATTTAAGCTTCTGTATGCTTACTTTTCCTCTTTTTCCCTTTGTTCAGCATCACCTATCTAATCTTCAGTGTCTTTTCAAAACACTGCTCTTTACTGCCCACTGGCCTCACTATAAATATCCCAATATCAATATGGTTGATTGATAAATGTGTACATGAATCTCTGAGCATGCCACCTGAGTGGCCAGCTTTGGGAACATGCATTATGAGTTGCCCTCAGGTCAATAGGCAGTAAAGTTTTCTGAACATTCTCCACCTCAGATTAAAATCAATTTCTTGACTAAATAAACAGGCAGCCAAACTTCAGCTGACAGACAGGAGCTGTAAAATGTGAGAGTGAAGATCAGCACCCTGGATAGAATCTTTTTTACATGGTGATCAGACAGACCTCATCAGGAAATAACCAACTTTGACAGATAAGGTGGGCTTAGCAGCAGCATTGGCAGTGTGTGATTCCTGTGTCAAAACCTACACCTGTCAGGAGGGGAGAATCAAAGTGGGGTCTCTGCATCATTTTTCTAATTGAAACAGGCATTGGTAAGGAAGAAGCAAAAAACTTGTTCTTTTTGAAATCTAAGGGTCAAAAATGAATATTTGATAACTATAGAACTTGTTTGGAATACTGAAATAAAATGTCCTGCGATAACTTCTAGCAATAATATAAATGTATGTAGAAAAAAGTCAAATTTGAAAACAGTAACATAAACTTGAAATAAACGTGACAGTGATAATGGAATTGAATTTTTCTTCATAGGCAGGAACAATTAGCATATTTGGAGAGAATTTCTGAAAGTAAATAAACTATTGGACTCAAACACACTTTCTTTTCACCTTAGAAAAATATTTTCTTTAATAATATTGATTTTATTTAATTTCATTGGAAATTTTACAAACCTCTTAATATGCTGGTGGTATAGGAAGGCCTTCTTCTCAGTTTTGCCAGAAATGCACTTAGTTTTCCTGACGCATTAAGAATCAGGCAGCTCCCAGCTTTTGCTTCTGTGGGAACAGAATAATAATTTCATCCCAGTAGGATACAATTTCCCAACAAAGCAAGCTCTGAAATTTAAAAAGAAAAATAAATTAAAATAATTTAAAAAAAATTAAAAAATCATAATTTTTTTTGTGATCTCAGGCACTTTATTAAAAAAATGCTAGTCAAAAGAATTAATAGACATTTGTATTTTTAAACAGTGTAGAGGAACAGACAGCAACATTTCCAGCTACAACTCTTCAATCAAAAAAGCATGTTCAACAGAAGAGTCCATTCTATTTTTGTCTCTTCCTTCTGGTTCTTAGTTAATTAAGATTATAGGCATTATAAAAATATGGGAAATTATTTAAAAATTAGTAATATATTTGGATTATATTTATACATATACATATATATCAGCAACAGGTTGTTAGATTCCAAAGGTTAAATTCTAGTAAAACACATTCTACCACAGAAGACAGCCCTCCATAAACATGTCCAAGATGAAGAGTAAAACTTTTTTCATTAAAAACATTCTAACCTAAAGTTTATCATTTCTCATCTACCTCTTATAAATTCCACTAGCTAAAATTTTCTTTCTCACTGTGCCTCTCTTTTCTTTCTGACTTCACTTATATGTGGGTGTTCAGACTTCTTAATATACTTAATCTTTTTTATATAACCTTTTAAAATTTACCTCACTCTTTCTTGCATGACTTTCTAATGATTTTTCAAATTACCAGTCCCTTCAAAGTCCATTAGGTACATCAGGTTGCCTATTTGAATTCATATTAATGAGTATTTAACAATTTTTCCGCTTCAAACTTTTCTTTTTTAAAATTCATTCTTTTCACGCAGAAGAACTTCAGCTTCCTTACAAAGGATCTATTTTATAACTACAAGAATTAGGTGGAAAAGTATTCCGTGAAATTGAAGTTTTTTAAAGCAAACATTCATACAAGCGATGTGTTAGAATTAAAATGTAAGAAAGATTCTACTACTTAGCTTTGGATCTCACACAGATTGACAACACCTCATAAATCATAAGATTTTTTTTTCACTGTGTTTTTTCCTTGTGTTTATTTCCAAATGCAGATCACAGCTGGTTCAGAAGGAAAGGCATGATCTGATTATTTAATGATTCCCTGATAGGGATGACTAACTACATCCCTCTGGACAGTGGTCCAGTCTCTCCTTTGGAGTTATTATTTATAAAGACAGTACAGACCCTAGTCAAACTAAAATATTCTTCTCTAGTCAACAAAAATGTTTAGAATCAAACCAGAACTGCAATTTTTTTCTCTTTGACTGCTCCTCCTCTGGAGATCATTTCCTATATTTACCCCCCATTCGATTTTCTCAGAAGCATCTTCTGTTTTCACCTTGAAAGAATTCAAAAAGATTTCTCTTGGAAACACCAGCATCAGACATTATGATATAAAAAACAATCTAATTTCCCCCCCAAGGATGTTAAACTCCTTTGGCACAGTTTTTTTGTTTATCCTTCCAACCCATCCTCACTTTGTCCACAGCTTTGCCTGATCTTCCAAGCCATCCTAAGCACTTGGCTATCCTGGCTCTTTGTAAATCACTTAGCTGGAACAGTCTGTATCCTGGCTAATCCTCTTAAGACTCTCATCCAAATATATTAATCATAATAATATAGGAGCCATCCTTGCTCCTTTCTGTTGCTTTGTTTACCAGAAAGACAATCAAAGGAGTGAGATCCTTCACTTCCCAGAATCTTTTGCTATGAGTCATTTGTTCTGAACGTGAGAGATCTTGGATTTTGTATAGCTGCATAAATGAAACATGACTAGTCTGCATGCCCTTCTCTCATGCTTTCTCCTAGGCTGTTTTGTTTGACAATGCCAGGTTTAAATGGCTTAAAACTTACAAACACCAAGTCACAAATAAAAGCAGGACTTTGTGATTGTAATCCTCAGCATTGTGGACTCTAGAAATGGACAGGAGAAATGGACTCTGAGAAAGCCAGTGGCAATGCTGATATGCTTATTTGTGCTACAGAAATGATAGAGGCAGGAAAGGTGCTTAACCTGGATTGGAAACTACAGCAATCAACACTGACTAGAATCAGTCTGTAGGAAATACCAGGATAAGGATGTGAGTAAAAGCCTGTTCTTCACTACAAGGGGGTGAGTAACACTGTGTAGAGCCTAAAGACAGATTTACTGCTCAGAAAGAAGCAGGCTCCTGCCTCTCCTTAAAGTGGTGGTGGTGCTTTTGCTGCCCAGTCTCACCCTTGTCTAGGTGATTTGGATATTTGGCTCTGAAGGATGTCCTATGCATCAAGACCTTTTATCTTTGTGTATTAATGTCTAATGAGTCTCTCTGCTGTTTCTTGCTAGTTTCCATGACTCAGGCAATCTGGGCTACACATTCCTGCATCTTCTTCAAACTGAGGAACAGGATGGTTTATATCTAAGGAACCATTTACCATGATCCTGCCACGTGGATTTTTGCCGAAAATGCAAAACCAACGTTTGACAAGATACTAAAGTTACAAGATAAAGATTCTTTTATATAACTTTGATTCACTTCCTATGGTGTATATCAATTATACTTCAAGAACACTGTGACAATTCAGATTCTGGATATAATTAGCGTGGTAATGATCTGCTTCTGGTTTTTAAAGAGAATCAGACAATCATATTCTGTCTTTTCAACTAGCTATCTGAAGACAAGAACATTTCTAGCTGATTATATAAAGCTCTGGGTTTTTTCATAAGGAAATTTCCTTTTTTTTCCTTCCCTTCAAAAATGTAGACATTTCATAGTCTCTTTTAAATCTGAAACAGCTTGAGAGGAGGTAGGACCTGGGGTTTCTCTCTTCCCTAAATTTATATCTCTGAATTACTCTCCTAGTGAGCTTTGACTTGGGAAAGGCAATATCCAGGACTACATTTGGGACAAAATAATCCATTAACAACTGACAGATAAATCTGCAAAATAAAAGAAAACAATGTTCCAGCACTCCTCCCAAAATATAATTTGAATAAATTAGTCAGTCTTCTGTTTATAGTCATTCCATGATCATCAGAAAGGAGGAGGCAAAAAAAAGAAGAAAGGTAAAATAGAATATGGTTATGTTATCTGAAGAAAATTATATGCTTATTTACATTAGTCTGTTATTATGAAAACATTTAGGAAAATATGCTTCTCAAATATAAGGAATAGATGTCATATAGGACAATGCAGTTTTTTCATTTTGCGGCATGATAAAATTCTTTAAGAGGTGTAGGCATGTATAACAGATGTTGCTGTGCACTGTCCTTGATTTATATGATGGGCAAATTCCCCAAGCAAGGCACATGTGTGTCATGTCCAGTGGAGGGGAAAATACCCCTGTATCTTGCTCCAGATAAAGAAGAAAAGAGATTTAAATGAAATTTGCATTTTTGTTTTTTCATTTCAGATTTTTACGGTTTCATACTTACCAGAAGAACTGATATTACAAGACTTTTTATTTATTAGAAAATGGACCTAAATATATATTGGAGACTTTTGATGGTATTGCAGTATTCTACTGTACTTTTGATTATATTAAGTGTAATTAATCTTCATAGAAACTGTTTTGACATAATCTCACTTTTGAAAGTGACTTGTAAGTTTGCTCTTCCTGTCAGTGCTTATATTATTATTTTTTACTTAGTAGAATACATAATGTCTATCAAAATTTTAACCTTCCTAATAATTACATTGATATAAAAATATGACAGTGAAAATAGATTAAAGGCAATTACTAAAGCCATGTTATTTTTAGGTGGTTGTTTGAGTCCTGCTTTCAGATTTTCATTTATTCTCCAGTGAGGAGCTCAGAAAAAGAAACCTAGTATTTAATGTAAATTTTTTATCATGAAATTGGCAATCAAGACACTACATATAGAAAATCATAGAATATCTCAAGCTGGAAGGTACACATAAGGACCACAGAGTCCAACTCATTGATTCTCAAAGGACTACCTAAAGAATAAACACTAAAATATCATTATGATAAACACAATTTCAGTAAAGTAGGTCACATGGAGCAGTAGAAAAAGAAATTGCATTACGCATGAAAAATAAAACAAGTGGTTCTGTATCAAATTTTCCAGGTTCTCTTTCCTTGTCTAACCACCAGGCACATATAAAAAGGCAGTTTCCAACACACATACTCAGCTACTGCACACAGGTACAACACACAAGACAGTAATAACTTGATAGCCCTTTATGTACCTTTTACTTCCCTTTCTGATTATCTAGAATGTTTTCAGAGGACATACCTAAGTATTTCAGAAACAATTCTTCCTCAAAATCTCTGTACTTATTTTCAGTCATAACATCAAATATATTTTCTTTTCCTCTTGTGGTTTAGAGATATTGCAGTTATAGAATTGTTTGAGAGGAACTTTATTCTTAAATTTCTTTATGTGGATAAAGTGAAGTGCTTCTTGGTGGACTGTTTTACTGAATCACACATTTCATTACACATCTGTTCTGTCTGACTTCTGGATCTTTAACATATTTCTAGTTATGTATTATATATCATTACTAGATCTCTAGAAACAGAAAGATTTCTGAGGATTAAAGTCTTCAAAGCAATTTGCAAGAGGTTACTAACACAACAGCTTTAAAAAAATGCTTAGGAATTCCTGTGTAAAAGGCATTCCTCATCTGTATTTCCTTACGGTAGCACTATGCAGCTTAACGTATGGCCAGAACATTTAAAGAGGTCAATTCCAAAAAACCCACAAGCTATGTTAGGCAATGTTTTCAGTCTTTAAGTCCTTTTTTTTAATTGAAAAACAAATCAGGGTTTTATGAGATAAATTAAACTTAATTTAGCTATAATTTTGGGGATTGCCATATGGTATCAATAAATAATTTCTCAGTAAGGTACTGCTATCCCTTAAAATAGATAAACATATGTCAGTGTATTGCGCTTGCATGGCAAGAGTTTGGTACCAGGGGGCTGCAGCAGTGGCTCCTGTGAGAAGCTGCCAGAAGCTGCCCCATGTCTGATGGAGCCAAACCCAGCTGGTGCCAAATCAGACCCACTGCTGGCCAAGGCTGAACTCATCAGCGATGGTGGCAGCGCTTCTGGGATAACAGAGTTATGATGGGGAAAATGCTGCACAAGAGCAGCCAGAAGAGAGGACTGAGAGTGTGAAACTGCCCTGCAGACACCAAGGCCAGCACAGAAAGAGGGGCAGGAGGTTCTCCAGACATCAGAGCTGAGATTCCACTGCAGCTCATGAGGAAGACTATGCTGAGGCAGGATGTGCCCCTGCAGCCCATGGAGATCCACCAGGGAGCAGAGATCACCTGCAGCCTGTGGAGAAACCCTCACTCTGCAGGCGGATGCCCACACACCACAGGTGGCTGTGTCCTGAGGGAAGCCAATACTGGAGTATGCACCTGGCAGGGAGGGACCTGTGACCCTGTGCAGAGAGGAGCCTAAACTGGGACGGTTTTGGTGGCAGGACTATTGCCCAGGTAGGGGACTCATGCTGGAGCAGTCTGTTCTTGAAAGGACTAGCCCCCACTGTTCCTGAAGAGACGCACACTGGAGCAGTTTGTGAAAAATGCTAGCCTGTGGGAAGAACTCACATTGGAGATGGTCCTCTGTGGGGGGGACAGTGGGTCAGGGGAAAAGCATGAGGAGTGCTCCCCCTGAGGAGGAAGGAGCAGCAGAGACAATGTGTGAGGAATGACTGCAGCTCCCATTCCCCATTCCTCTGTGCTGTTGTGGGGAGGAGCTAGAGAAAATTGGGAGTGAAGATGGGCCTGTGAAGAAAGAGATAGGGGGAAGATGTTTTTAAAATTTGGGTTTATTTCTTTTTATCCTAGTATGATTTGATTGACAAAAAATTAAATTTACTTGTTCCCAAGCGGAAGATCTTCTGCAAGTGATATTAATCCCCAGGTGACCTTTCCCTGTCCTTATCTTACCCATGAGCCTTTCATTACATTTTCTCTTCCCTGTCCATTTGAGGAGGGGAGTGACAGAGCAGCTTTGGTGGGCAACCGTCACCCAGGCAAGGCCAACCCATCATAGTCAGGTGCTCATGATTAAATCCATATCATTCCACTCTGAAATAGATCCATAACAATTAACTGCCTTGAGCTGACTGGTGATGCCTTCATTCACACAGCTAATTATGGATATCTTATGGATATATATGCCACGAGAAGCACTGCTATATTCTGCTATTACTTTAGTGAAAATTTGCCTACCTACATCGGAGTCCAGCTCTTTAGACTTCAAGATGATTCCTCATTCCAGTGAAGGTCTTTTGGTCACAGCAGGTGTCACAGCATCATTAGTCGTCCTGAGTGAAATGGCTCTCGGGAAAAAATTTAAAAAATTATTTCATTTTACCATAGCACAAGAATGAGGTAAAATAAAAGAACAGAAAAAAATTCCTTTTAATAGCACTTTCATTCTTCGAAACTTTTAGAATCTGAGAAGGGGTATGTTTTGCCAGAAACAGCAACAGAAAAGTTTTGTCAGGTTATCTTTTTATTTGGATTTATAATCCAGCTGGAAAAGGCGTTAACACACTTTGTTTTTTTACTTCATTTCATTTACTTCAGTTCATTTTACTTTTGAGCCTCTGTAAGTCAGCCCTGGCTGAAAATACTTGAACAAATGTGGCCAGAGCTTGTTCTCAGAGCTGGATGTAAAGCAAACACAATTTTGGCTTCAGCTGCACTATCCATTCCATGAAACAATCAACGACAAGGTGAGAGACGGAATTAGAATTCAAGTCCACTTCCAGAGTCTCTTTCTCTGAGCATCAATCTCCAACTCTTTGATGCTATACATAAGCCTCAGCATAGGCCAGCAGCTGTGAACCTCTTGTGGTGGCTTATGACAAATTGAACAGCTTGGATATGATTTCAGAATAAGAACTTCTTTTTATAACTGCGCCTTCTTTTTTCATGTCTACTGTGGCAGCACAGAGCGAACTTTTGCATAAGAAATCATATTCTTTCAGTTTTTACACAACCTTTATGCTCAATACTTATTTTAGTTTTGGTAACTAACATTGTTGTTATTGATTTCTAGACCTGGAAAGCTATTAGTTGTTTTTTGTTTGTTTTGAGGTCTTTTTATCCCTGCAGGCCCACTGGGAACACTGTTTTTAACCATCTAAATTCTGTTCCATGTACAACTATAGCTTATGGCTTCCTATAAAGAATTACTTTCTACACTTAGGGGAAGAGATGGGTCAGATGCACTTCAGTGAAACAAGAGCTTAGAAAAAGACACTTTGTAGGGTCAGAAAATAAAACACGGCAATTAGCATACTACTGCTGTTGCTGTACATCTGATCTCTGCCAAACTTGCAGCACCCAGCTGAAAACTCTGCATCCTAAAAGATTTATTCCCCACACTGACTTTTTCAGTTTAAGTACTGAAATGTATTTTATTTTTTTTTACCAGAAGTCTGAGAAAAGTGATATTTAATGCTTTAATGTGTAACACATTCTAAGTTACATGTTGAAAATGTAGTGCTAGCTAGACTCAAATCCCCCTTGTTTATGACCTATCCCATATCAGTAAACTTTATTCAGATTTGTCTAAATTGTAATCATTAAAGGCCAGCATCAGAGGCAAGGAGATCAGGAATAGAAGCATGCATATGTACCTACAATGCTACAATACAGCCAGTCATTATTAGCCATAGAATTGTAGAAACATAGAATGGTTTGGTTTGGAGAACACCTTCAAGATCATCTAGTTCAAATCCTCCTGCTGTGAACCTGGTCCCCAGACCAGCTTGCTCAGAGCTCCATCAGCCTGGCTTTAAACATTCCCAGTGATGGGCATCTGCTCTGGGGAACCTGTTCAAGTGTCTCATCACCCTCAGAGTAAAAGAGAAATTGTTCCTAATATTTAATATCTACGTCTTTAATTTTAAAGCCATTTGCCTTTGTCCTGTTACTACATAGTCTGGCAAAAATCCTCTCTCCATCTTTCTCGTCTCCATCTTGACCTTCAGATACTGGAAGGTCATAATTAGGTCATCCCTTAGCCTTCTCTTTTTCAGGCTGAACAAACCCAATTCTCTTAGCATTTCCTTTAAATATATTTTAAGTCCAGGATTCCCATATTTTAAGCTATATGCAGAATAGCTTCTCCCTACTGCAGACTGGCTGCTCTATGAGCAGCAGATATGCTACTGCAGAAAGCACTTAAAAATGCTGATTAAGGTGTTGCTGTACCCTTTACTATAACTGAAACACTTCTAAGAAGGAGACATGTCCCTGCAGCTGCTGTAATAAATCATCTATTCATGATGACCTGTTAGCTCGATTTGCATTTATCAGCATCAAAGATCTTTTCATTATAGTCATAGTACCAATGCTAAATTACATTTTTCATCTGCTCTTATATAGATTTAGATTAGCATCAACATTTAAAATTCTTAAAAGTGGAAGAAAGTGCTTAAACTGTCATCGCGGTAAATAAATCTATCATCCAACAGAAAGCCTGCAGTAAGGGTGAAGTATGACATAATTATTTCAAGAAAACTCCTCAAAAGTACCCACCTACAATCTTATCCAAAGGTTATTCCTGTCTTGAAGAAAAACTTACCTGCTTGGATAAACTTTGGAACCTTTCTGGACAAGATAAGTCTTCAAGATGATTTAATCTAAAATCTTCTCTTTACTGTACAAGCTTTCAAAAGGCTGTCAAAATTTATAGCTCACAGGAATAGGACATAGCAGGACTTCTATTAACATATCCAGCAGAGAGCAAATTGAGTGACCCAAACACCATCACAGGGGCAGACTGAAAAATGCTTTTTGGTTCCCTGTATTTTGATAGGAAAAAAATAATAAAATGTTCTATATCTCTCCTGGTCATCTTCATCTCTCCTGAGAAAAAAGGCATCTGTGGGCGAAAACTGATTGCATTTGTACTTCCTTGGGGAGAAGGAAGAAGAGTGTTAGTGACACCACTGGCATTCTGTCCTAATCTCCAGCTCCATGTTAATCGACCTTTTCTGTGGTACAGTAGTTGCCATGGTAAAGCTTATCTGAATCCCTGTCACCCAAACCCCTTCTCTTTCTGTTTCTCCGTTCTTTCACTTTTTTACAAAATGTCAGCAATCTCTGATTTTTGCTTTATCTTTGAAAATGGAAAAAAAGATCATAAATGAAAAAAAATCACAGTTTTGTTCAAAGTTTTGGGTACATACACGATGTTACATGCTGTAACTTCCAGAACCACTCTTATCTAGTCATGAGATGCGGAACAATATCTCCTGTCACGTATGTAATTACTTTTGGGTCATTTTCTAATGAGTTCTTCTGTTTTCCACAAGAAATAGAAGATTTATATAGTGACATGAAAATTGTCATGCAGAATGGGGACTCCTTACTCCTTACAGGGAGTCTTAGCACAGAATTTAACAGAAATATAAATAATATTCAGACTGACAGAAAAATAATACATTTGATTTATTCCATTTAACTTATTCTGCTTCTGTCTAAAACAATAACTTGAAATAGTTTTGATAATTGAGCCTCTCTGTAGTGAGCAGAGAGGTCAGTGTCCTCCCAAACTATGCATGATTAGTTACCTCCAAGTCTTATTTCAAGCTGTAACCATGCTTAAATTATTTAAAGGGAGACATTCTAAAAGATTATTGTCTATTAAATTGCAAAAAAAAAAAAAATAATTAGAAAGTAAATATATTGTTTCCTTCCCAGTATCTTTGTAGCCCTGTTTTGGATGTTTTATAATAGTTTTACATCTTTATTACATTGTGGTGCCCAAACCTGCAGAGAATATTGAAGGTGAGGCCACACCAGCACAGAGCAGAGAGGGACAATCCCCTCTCTCAACCATCCGGTGAGGCTGCACATGAAACATCCTGGAAATAAGGACTGTGTTTTTTAAGGAAGATCTTGTGAAATTAGCCTGAAGTATAAGTTGAAAAGACTGTATTTTCAGAGAGCTGCATTGAATGATATAAATAGAAATATTGATTTTTGGTCTGCTTAGGAATGTCTGTATTAAATATCACTGTGCATTGTAGAAGATGAACGAATTTTAAAGGGCAGGTGGTAAAAACAACTGTGATATTTTAAAATATTGTCTTCCACTACCACTATTTATAACTTGTTACTCTATTATGAAATTCCAAGGGGAATGGAGTTAGTATGAACAGACACTAAAAGTGTTCTGAAGTAACTTGGGCAACTTTGCACAACAGCAGGTTGATAAACATTCTTCCAGCTGAGTGGTGGTGCTTAAACCTCCAAATGAGGGGCCAATCCTAACTGTGGCTAGTTAACACCTTTAATTGACTTAGGATATTATGTGGTGGATCAAATTTTTCTGAGATTACAAGAAATTTACTGATAAATGAAGATGAAAATGTGATTATTTAATATTTTGATCAAGAAACGCCTTTTTCAGAATATTTTCTGAATTGTGTGAGAAATTCTACCCCTTTTAAAGCAACTAAGAGGTGTACCCTGACTTTATTGACTGAACACCTTCTGATATAATAGGCAGGGAAGGGAAGAAGATTACAAATGCAAAATATATATTTCATAGACAAACCAGTTTGGGATAATTTTCATTGTTTATTATTTTTAATTAGAAAACACTGTTCCTAGTTAATTAACTTTTAAAATTTTATTTTTATGAATATGTATCCTTTATAAATCTTTATGATTTCCTCCATTCTCCTTGCATTCCACTTTAAAATATTTTTTGATTGTTTTATTTTTCCCTTGGCGTACTCATGAAAGTCTGACACTGAAATTAATTTCCATCATCTAAAATATATGCTGTTCCAGGCATTGTAACAGCAGGGAGAGAATCACTGTGCTTGAATTAGCATAGGGATAAACTCAGCAAACTACTTAAAATAGGCAATAAAGATTTTTTTTCCAAGAAGCAAAGGAAAGGAAAATGTTGTTCCATAACTTAACTTGTCATTTCAACCAGAAAACTTCAAGCACTGGTCAAAGTCACTGATGCTATAACGTGGATGGTACAGGTTGCACATGTGTATGGTAATTTTACAGCTAAGAAACATTTTTAAAAAATAATCTTTGAAATATAATACATAATTCCTTCTTTTCTCTTTCTCCTATGGTATATTCCCAGTATCTCACTTTATTCTTATCTGGTGGGAAAGCAGTTATTCTCTTAAGAGTAGGAAATAGAGCCTGGAATAACATGCAGACTGAGTGGTAGTGTAAGAAAATTAAAAAATCAAACTAAGCATTCCAACACAGAGATACTTGTCATCATCTTAAATGTTTCTGTGACTCCTGCAAAAGGGACTAAATCCTTAGAGGACGGATTTGTTCACAAGTTTCTTCCAGTGTGAGGAAACGACCATGAGTGCAACTTGGAATTTTCCAAGTCCGCCCTCAAGTTTCCATCAACAACATTACATCTGCACTATGAAACAGATATTTAGCTAAATGTTGTTGCAAATACTAAATTATCAATGTAATTTATATAATAATTATTATACTATAAATTAATATGCATACACTTTTAATACATAAAATAATAAATATATTACTATTCATAGAGAGAGTTTAGTTTCAAATGAAACTGAGCTCAAGTTTACATATAGTACCAATATGAAACCTGCTGCAGTTTGTTATTCTGTCCTTTGGGGCTGAATTCCATTTTTAAAAATTATTCCACATACATATCACTTTCAATTTAAAAGCCCACAAAGAAATTTTGCACCTTTTTTTTGGGGTGAATTTTCATCTTTGAATTTAGAAGTACTTTTGAAAAATATCAGGAAAATTTCTATGGCAATTAGACTAAAACTTACATTATAATTTCCTTAAAACTATAATATACACTTACTAAATATGTCGTTCATTGATCTGTCTAGTATTTTCCAAAGCATCTGTTAATATGAGAAAATGCTAGAAAACAACATAGATTTTCAGCCTCCCTCAAGTACTACTCTCTAAGCCTCTCTGGAACTCTCATCCACACAGTCATGTTTGATAGTCACTGAGAGGATTCCATACTTCTCAGCCCCTATACATTGCGACTTCTACTGCACCCTAAGACAATAAATCCTACAGCTTGACTTTGTGTTATATGAAACAATAATTCCAGTTTTTTTAAGCTTTACTCCTTATTGCATATATTTTACCATGCAAAACTGCATTGCTATCTTCCTTATTCATTGCAGGATTGACACATTTTGAGAATAAGTCTTGAGAGAAAAATAGGAGCATGAATGCTTTTTTTCTATTTCTGTAAATGTTATGTATGGTAAAAATTGTATCTGAACATCAATTATATTGCTTATGTTTGTTATCATACTCATAGTGCAACCTAGAATTTTTAGATAATTATTCTTTTCTATAAAATTGATTTCTGATAAATATTATTTATGGTAGAGACATTACGAGAATAAATGTTGGAATTTCTAGGAGTTGTGGCAAATATTATCAACACAATGTCATTTGGACAACTGTATATAATTTTACTTTTCAATAAGAATAAACATCATGAAGTACAAGCAGCCACTGTACATATATTACCGTAAAAGTATCATACATATAATTTGTAAAGACTAGCTAAAGTCATTGTTTGCCACATTCACCTGAAAATATTAAATTAAAAGTATGGTAAAATAAGTATTCTGGGTTATCATAAGACTTCTAAGTATTTTTTTCCCCAGAGGCAGTACCTGTTAAAGTAACATCTAAAAACATTCACAAGATTCTAAATTAATTGTCATTCAGATGAAAATCTTAATTTTCAACCTGCACTGACAAGTATCCTTTGACTTACAACTTCCCCTACATTTAAAGACATTTACAATAAAGTTTTGTTGATGGTATTTCCAGTGCAGCAAATTACATATGATTTTGGGTTAATGTCCAATTATTTGTTAAAAAAAAAAAGTCTTTTTTTTTATATATATGTGCATGTGTGTGTGTAGCAAACCAAAGGATGATACAAATATTCATCTGAAGCATCCATTTTGCATGGATGAATGAATATACTTGTTGACACACACAGGTATATTTGTCAATTTCTGTGTGAAAATGTGGATGCCTGTGAATATATTATAATGAACTAATATATTTTTAAAGCATTTGCACAGATTTACAACAAGAAAGAAATATTTCATTCTAGGGCAGTTCACCACCACAAATATTCTTTTATTACCCTGAATGAAATATTCTTTTGTCAGAGGGAATAATGAATATTTGTAGTTTATAATGTTGTTTCTTTAAAAGGAATATAACTTCACTTTTGCAAGGTACAGAATTGTCTGAATATGGGTGAAAATTCCCTCAATGTTCCCTCCTTCTTCTGCCTTCAACATCCCCTCCCTCTCCCAATGCAAACAAAACAGAAACCTGTCATAAAATAAGCACTCAGTAAAACGATATAAAATCAAAGTGATATGTCTGCCATGGGATGAAAGAGAGGGTGTAATAGTAGTTAAAGCATAATATGTTTAAGCCTGGGGATAAAGTGAAGTGCAGATGTGTCATTCCTTGAATAAAAATAAACTAATAGTTCAGCTATACAACCATAGCTGCAAGGATTTTAGAAGCAGGTAAGAACACATTAGTTTTTATGTGCCATCCAAGGCCTTATATCATACTCTCAGGCTGATCCTTCATTTGGATTAAGAAGCACTTTTACTTATAAGTCCTGTTAAGCATTCCAAGTGTAGGCCCAGTTCTTCTATTAAGAAATATTCTTTTTGAAGCTACAGTGTGTTTGTTTGGGGTTTTTTGTTGTTGTTTTTTTAAATTTTCTTATGTTTTTAACTTACACAGGGCCACACACAATGATGCATCTTATATTTTATATATCTTCTGTAACACCCCTTCCTGCTGGAAAACATTCATCCTACTCTTGCTCAAGTACCCAGCAATCAATATTTTGCATTCTCTCAAAATGCGTTATTACCTTTCCAGAAGAGAAACCATCATGCCACAAAGATAACTACTGTGGTGTTATAGGTCTCATGTGGGAAAGCTCAGATGTGGTCCTGCCACAGATTTCCTGAGCTGTGTGGAACATATGGATAGAGACAGTACTGTATTTATAGGTTTCCCCAGAGAAGCTAGCAACCATTACAGCCTTAGGGCATGGAGCCTTTCACTGCATTTTACCAGGAGTTAAAATCTCCTGACCCCAGAGTGTTGGAGAAAAGAAAAGCACTACCTTCTCTTAAGTGAATTAATCCAAAAGAAACTTTCATAGAAAATTACCCTCTCACTAAAAGCAGCTTGAATACACTTACACATTTCTCCTGAGTGAGCACAAAAGATGTGTCAGGGCTTGTGAGAGATTCACAAGCTCTTTCACTCTCTTCACACATTCACCATCTTATCTACTATGACCTCTCCTAGATGAAGAGATGCTTTTCATTAAGTCTAAAGTAATGATCCTTTACTTTGTAATATTTTTTCAAGTTAAGTGTTAGTAAAACACACGGCTGCCTGTGTAGTCAGGTAAAATGCTTTTAGTCTGAGCTTGTACCATTTACACTATCTTATGCTGCTATAATAGGCTGTTAGCAACCATCTCAAATTCATGAATTTGAATAAAGAAAGCCTAGGATGAGAAAGACACTCTAGTAATGAAGTGCATTCTTTTTTTCTAGACATGTTTTAGGTTTTTTACAGAACAAAATATTTCTGTAGAAATCTGTTAGGCATTGTGTCACAAGAGAGAACAGCATGTTCTATGAAGAACCTGACAAGGAAAATGTGCAAGAAGAAAATAATATGCTAAAGCAAAATACTTTATTTTTCTCCTCTTTTAAAAGTGATATTTATTTCAAATAATTTTACTCTTGTTGTGATGTTAGCTATAGAAACAAAAAAAAAAAAAAAAGACTGTTAATCAGGAAGAGCTGGGAGCTTCATTTTAATGCTTATAACAAATTATATTAGATAAAGCTGAAAATCTCTATGATCCAGTGATAATATTATACAACATTCAAGAGCTATATGCGTGATTTAAAAAGACAGAAAACTGTAATTTATCAGAATACTTTCACTATTAATATGCAAATGATGCATTGGCTACATATTTAACAGCTCTTACTTGGAAAGAAATTATTGTGTTTCTGCTGTAGAGGGGGAGCTTTTCCAAATCACTGCCTATGATTTTCCTTAAGAATTGAGCTAAGTGAATCGTAGTAACACAGTGAATCATAGTATCTAATGATAGACGCATTGTAATTTGCAAACCAGGTTTCATCATCTATTTTGAACATACAACATTATAAATTTTACATGAAAATTACACAGCCACAAAAAAAATTATGTAAAGTGAAAAATATACCCTTTGGCTGCCCTATTTCAGACCCCCTTGATGGTTTTGAAAGCAATCACAAAGAGATTCTTCTATTCACCCACCTTATACGCAATTGCATTCACCTTGTCTGCTACTGGCAATTTATTCGCTTTTGCCTCAAGGGAACTCGAGCACCTTGATTCCTAGAGAGACACCAACCCCCACTCAGAGGTAGAAGAAAAAAGGATGAGTTTCTCCATGTTATTGTTCTTTTCTCCTCCCTGACTCCTTTTCTGTTGTTTTGTTATATACAGCTTCAGTGGCACTGAAGTCATCCAGCTGCAGAGCATTTTCTGATCTACAAGACATGAAACATAATGCTGAGACAGATTTATAATTTCTACTTCTTTAGGAAATTAATCTGTGAAGAAAAGAGCATGCTCTGAAGAACCACTTGTTATCAATGGACTGTATCTTAATATACAATGAAATGCAAGCCTTAGAAATGTTTTACTTTTTCAATAAATTTTATCTCCAACAGTTTTAATATCAACAAGAACCCAACTCAGTTTTTCCTTCCTCTATTTCTTACCTCTTATAACTATACTCTGCCAGTCATTTTACATGGAGATTGTTCCACAAAGCAACTGAAATTCTCTATCTTTACCAGTCAACTAAACTATTCTGTAGAACCAGGTAAGGGGGTAATTTATGCCAAATATTTGCAATTCAATGAACTCGTGTAGGTAGCAATCTTTAAAAATACATCAAACAAAAATGAAAAGGAAAACTAAAAGAACATAGTTTATGAATTTATAGCAAGGTTACTTTTCTCAGTCTAGGTGGTGTTACATCTTTATCCATCTAGATTAGTATTGTTTTGTTGAATTTGCTATATTTCTTTAGTTTTGCTTTGTGCGTTTGGGTTGTTGTGTTTGTGTTTTATCAACAGTGAAATTACATTCTTGCCTGAGATTCTGAGCTTTACAAAATGCTCCTTTTTTCTGAGTACTCCCATCACTGTCAGGTAGTGCTATCGACTGCTTCTATGTAAGGGGTTTAATCTGTGGGAAGAGAAGTGGCAAGAGCACAAAACAAGCGAAGAACTCAAAACTGCAAAGGACATGTTGGAAAGAGGATTACCAATGTAGCACTTGATAAAAGTCTTACAAAATAGCATGACAAAAGGTATGAATGTAAGAGCAAACCAAAAGAAATAAAATTGTACAGTATTAATCCTTCATTAGAAAACCTGCCCAGACATCTCAATTTTAATTGTCTGATAAATGTCTCAGAAATTATTCTCACAAAGGAGGATAGTTTTAAGGCTAGTGTGTGCAAAAATCCACCATCTTAAAGTCAGGCTTAGTTTAACCAGAAGCCAACATTATTTTGAAACATTTAACTAACTACGTTTTATTAATAACACATAGCCTCCTGATAATTCAAATCAAGCCTTGTCCAATAATTAAAAGGTATGCTAATGTAATTTTAAGGCAACTGAAGATTAAATATAAACAAATCAACAAAGAAACCATCAAGTATCCATCCTGAAATATACAGTGCTTCAATGCATAGTAGACAACAGTACTTGCTCTCTTGACCATCTTTGCTAAAATTTATGTCTGTGTCCCCATGCTCCTCTCCTAAGAAGAGTCCGGCTCCAACAGAGCCCTTTGGAGAAGAAGGCTTCTCCTGTCACCAGGGAATTTCTGAGTGTATGCAGGGTAGGAAAGGTTGCTGAGTTGGCAAGCAAGAGCCAGCCAAAGGCTGGAGCTCATGCAGAGGTTAAGAGGCAGCAGAGAGGATGAGTCTGCTAACTAGGCCACAAACACAAAGGGAAGGGCTTCTCTGGGACAGAGGGGAAAAGATCAGATCTTGCTGCTGTTCAGAAAGTATCAAGATAATGGAACTGAAACACAAAAGTTCCAGTCTACAGGGACAGAATGGGCAGTATATAAAGCTCTCCATTTTTGTTCTTTTTATTCATTACTTTAACTTCTTTTCATTTGGAAAGTCATACACTTGGACTTCTATTTTGGAATAAAATTTATTTTTGAATCTAAACCCTTTTGGTCTCTTTGGGGAATTTCTCCAGAAGGAAGTTTAAGCACATCTGTTCTGCAGCAGTGGCCAAAACATATTCATAGTTAATATGTGCACAGATACAGAGCAAGGCTACAGCTGCAGCAATGTGCTCAAAAAGGATTAAAAAACCAACCTGTCCCTCATTAAATAATGGCAATGAAGAGAGAATATCAACATGCTTCTGTAGGTGATGTGGTGCTCAGGTGAAATGACAATTGCACCTCACTGCCACAGAACTAGGAGACAGAGTAAAAATCAACTTACTTCTCATTCTCTTCTATTGCTTCCATCACATTTATGTTATTTCCCAGGTAGCTGAAATATAATTTGTTCTGTTTTCCTACTTGTAATACTGGAAATATCACTGTTAACTTTTTCACTGCCCTGCAAATATGTTTTTTGCAATGCTCACTCTGACATTGTAAATCCTACAATATTAGTTTCTTTGTTACCTTGCTAATTGAGTTACACTTTTTAAGCAGATATACTTCTTCATGGTTTTAGGCCTATTTTTTTTCCAAGCTTACTAACCTCATTTTCTTTGGTTTTGTTTAATTTCCATTATTTTCCTTTTTATCCTTTTTCAGTAACTTCATTTCACATTCAGTGAAGTTGCTAAGCCTGGATGATACCTGTTCCTGCCTTTTGTTTTTTGTTCACTGTAAAATTCTTTGTTATCCATCAATTTCCTGCTGTATTTTTCCCAACAAACACAGTGTGATTTTTACCTGTGTTTCCTCTCTGGGCACAAACATAAATAATGCAGAATTTGGTCTAACAACAAAGACATGAATAAAATACATAAAAAGAAATCCACCAGCTGCTGTGTACATCCGTGTTCTTGATTTCAGTCTGCTTTTATACCTTATCACTCAAAATTCCTTCTTTTTCTCTCCTAAAATATGTATATGTCAAGTGAGATTCCTGCCACTTCTTTTTAGAGAATTAAGGCAAATCCTATCTCCTTTTTCTTTCTGAAGAGAGATGTCAGGACTGCTGACCTCTGCCAGGAAAAATCTCCCTCTCTGCTCCTTTATTTCTTTTCAATTTTTCAGGAATATTCTACTGACAACTCAAAACCAAGTCATCCCCAATGAACTGATATAGCTGACCAATCTTTTAGTATTCAACACTCCACTTTTTCTATGAAAACGGAGAAACTTTCATGATTTTGCTAATTGAAATTTATCACATTAGGAATCGAAAAAATTACCATGGCATAGTTCTCCAGTGGTGTGGTTTACTGTTTTCCTGTGACAAGACTCTTCTGACCATTTGTTCCTTAGAGGAGGTAAAGGTAAAGGCAAAGGTCAGATTAGGTTATTATTTCTTTGTTGATGGGCTGTGGGAAGAGTTACCAATTGCCACCACCCCACCATTGCTCTGTCAGATGCAGCACAGGGAAATGCTGGAAGCAGAGTGCGTTGCCCATCATCTTTCCAAAGCACAGTCATGGCACGTTACAAAGGAGTACAAACTGTTGTCTTCAACTGAGCCAACAAATACGTGTATCCTACTCATACCTCTAATAGTGGCATGCCTTTCTCTAGCTAAGGCTTCTTCCTCTATTTTAGTTTGTATATTAAAATGACATCTGGCAATTGAGAGCTTATCAAGCTCCTGTTTTACACATGCTTGTACTCTTCTCTTGTTTCATTATCTTTAGAATAATTTATCCCAAATCAAATTTTTGCATTCAAATAACGCTTTTTTGCTAAATGATTTTCTTCATTGGAATCCTTACTCCATATTTAGAGCTGGGTGTAAATGTATAAGATCAATTCAATCCAGCTAAATGCTTAATTTCTTGATTGACTTTTTAGGTTTCTACCTTAAATAACAATATCAAGCACAGCTGTATTTACCATTATCTACCTTTCTTTTTCCTTTTGTTTGAGATTATTATTTTATATACCTTCACCTTAACATCTCAGGACAACTTCTGTAGTAAGACTTGAACTGAAACCAAACCAACTGTAATTTGGAATTCCACAAACCTCCAATTTTTTTCTAATAGAGTAACAGCCAAAGAGAGTCATTGTTTTAAGTTGCACAACTGAAAATGGGAGGGAGAGAAAGTGTATTTAGAAATCTTTTCAATAAAGGCTGTTCAGAGAGGCAATAATTACACAGCAGGTAAGAGGTTGCATGTGCTGAAAAAGAGAAAGGTTCTAAACATAAAAATTAAAAAAAAAAAAGTACAGCTAATTTTCTGCACTCTTTTCCAAAGAAAACAATAACTTAATGCCATGCACAAAGGCGTTGGGTACAAGGTTATACCTTGGACTCACAGACAAAAAAATAACGGCAGGTAAATAACAGTTGCAGAGATTAATTTTAAGTGGTTAATTTTAAAATGTTTTGTGAATTTTTCTTATGCTACTCTGACTAATGGACTTGCTAATTAAAATCTACTTTATATTAAAAAATAATGAGAGCACAGATTTAATAGAAATTGGTAGCCAAGAGGTGAGTCTATTAACAGCAACTTGAACAAATTGAAAAAAAAATCAATTGAGCTTAAAAAGAGATTTTAAACTTGTCAGAAATCTGTCTTGGAGAGGAACCCTATTACTTCTATTTCAGTGAAGTCTGGCAGAGTTTATAACTCTTTTTTTCAATTTAAGATTAAATCTAAGTTTCACTCTAAGATTCTTCCATATGATCTATGATTTTTCTATATCATCCATGATGTTAAAAAAAAATTAAATCCTAACTATGCAGAGTTTCTTCTGCAGTTTAAAGCCTACTGCTGGGCCCAGCACAGAATCGTGGAGGACACCATTTGTGACCGACTTCCACCTAGACCCTGTGGGAATAAAACCCTCTGGGATCTCCCATTCAACCAGTCCTCAATTTCAATTTTCATCCAAAGTAATAAAAAATTATTAAAAACAAGAGTAAATATTTAAAGGGGTTGCGAATACCACAAATATTGGTACAAATTTCATGTCTCTGAAGGTTTAGAGATATTTGGTTGCACCTCTGATCTCCACATTACTGATTTGTCAGTGTTCTTGTGGTATTTTCCACAAAAATCAGATCTTGAATTAAATTCCGTGGAAATGTTTGAGGCATTACTTTTTTCACAGAAGAATATCCTTACTTTTTATTCACTTTTTTTCTTTAAACTACAGAAAGAAAAAAGCAATTATAAGATTTTTATGGTGAAAACATAGAGTACACCTAAGCTATTTTTACATGAATATTATGACACTAAAGGTTTCCTTTATACTGTGTTAAAAAAAATACAAGAGAGCACAACACTGCTGTTATCCTTTGCTGACTTTTTTTTTAAATCTCATCCAGTACAGCAGTGAAATGACTTGAACTCAGGTCTGTTGAGTGCAAAATGTGTTGCAGATTTTTTTTTTAAACTATAAATCCCAGAGTATGAAAAATGGGAAGAAGAATTTGAAATTTGAAATTTCAAACCTTTTTTCATTTTGAAAAATTTGAAACCTTTTTTCACTGATCCTCCGTTTTCTCCAGCTTCACTTTGAGTTCCATTTGGGTTTGGAGCTCACAGACTACAGCAATGTCAGAGATGTTTTGGTTTTTTCTTCTCAGCTGTAAAGAATGGAATTGCTTTTACATAGAAAAAAATTATATTTGGGCAAAACAACCCATTACAGAGTGAAGAGATCAGAGATTTTGTCTTGGTGAATGTTACCACATGGTACATTTTATAGCAAATGTATCAGCTGGTGAACACTTCCAGTGAATACTGAATGGATAGAAGTTGCATATGCTGAGGATATAAAATGCAGAAATGAAGTTGTTCTCCTTCTTATCACAAAGGTCAGAAAATAGCAAGCTGATCTGAAGTCATGAGACAGCATCCATTCACTCCCGTGCCACTCAGCAAACAGTCACATGCCACAAAGAACTGCAGTGTCTTGGATCAGTTTTGCTAAAATCATGTAGCACTAATTACTGAGGTCTTCCTTGTTTAGTTCAGACTAATTTCATTTGAGTCTTATGTTATTTTACTTACAACTACTTACCCACCACATAATTGAAAGTGCCAAATAAAGTAAAGTAAATGACGATATCCCAGTCACTGCTAGTTTCAAGGAAATGTAAGAATTAAAATTGCAATACAAAAATCTAGAAGAAAAGTATATCTAAAGGCCTGGGTGAACACACAGTGATATCAATAAAAAAATATAAATTTACATTGATGACCCTTATCTGTATCTGACTTCAAGCCTTCAAAAAAAAAAAAAAAAAAAGTAAAGAACATTTGATGCTATTTATTTTGATGCAAAGTGACCTGAAAAAACCCAGATTCTGTGCCAAACATTAATTCAAAATGCAAACTAATTGAAAAATACTTATATAAAAGGATTTGAAAGAGTAAATGCCAAGATTAAGAAAAGCATTCTATTATTTTTATGAGCAGACTTGGGGTACTAAGAACCAAGCTCATGAGAGGGAAAAAACCACAGAAAACCCTTTCAGGAATGGATTAGTAGTTCAGAAATAGGCCTTTGAAAACTCCAAATCTCGCAGGATGATTAATTATTCTGTGGTTCACCATGAAGTATTTTTAGCTACTTTTACAAAGACAGAAAATTGCTGCCTTGTATACTGAGTGCTGCAAAAAAATGAAAATTATGAAATGTTTCTGAAGTAACAGAAACGCTTGAAGTAACCAGCCATTGCTTTTGCTATGCTGCTTGGATTTCTGGACCAAAATTAACCTTTTATATACATTACTCCATGGCATTAGATGTCTCCCTTCTTGTCATTATGAATTTAAAAGAAGATAATTTTCTCTTTCACTTTAATACCTGTGGGTATATGAAGAGGAAGAGAATCATTAGGAGAGAGTTTTTAATTTTTACTCACAGACTACCATGGTTATCATGAAAGGTCTCTTCCAAAAAGCATAGGGCTATCCAAAGCATAGGGCTTAAACTCACATAAAATCCACAAGAGATTTTTTTCAAACTCTCAGCCTGAATCTTGGCCTAAGGACCTTATTCCTTTAAAATGGTCTTAAAAAAATAGATTTTTCCAGGAACCAGCATCGAACCAGACATAAGTATTTCTGTAAAATTCTAGGGAACCAGTTTATTTATTTATAATAAAGCAGAATCGTTCAGTTGGAAGGGATCTACAATTATCTTGTCAAAACACATTCATTTAATTATTTTTAGAATGCAAGTAAACTCATCCTATTAAGAAAATAACTCTTGCCTAATATGAGGAAAATGCAACAAAATCAGTGGAACTGAATAGTACTTGAAGCGAGGCAGGTGCAGAGGTCCACACTGCCTGGCTTGTATCAAAAAGAGAAGAAAAACACTGTAATTAAGAGATAATTTTCATGTAATGTAGAACTGTCATTAAGTGATCTGATAAAAGTTTGAATACATCTGTAACATCAGGTTATAAATGGTAGAAGTATTTATCAGGGTTTTGAATATCCTGTAAGAAATAACAATTAGGTAAACAAGGTTATAGAGAACAATAAGATTAAAAGAAATACTTGATTCGAACCTCTAACAATCATACTCAGAAATTACAGTTCCAGTGTATTTAGTGAAAGAAAGGTTTTGTGATTACATCACCAGAAAAATGTAATGGCCTCTAAAAATATTCTGTGCTAACTTCCTAATATTTATTGTTACTTTTATTCTACAATATCTTAAATACCAAGAAACATACTATACTCCCTCTAAAACCTGAATAAATTATCTTTTCAGAAGGCCTACTCCATTACTC